ATCTATCTATCTATCTATCTATCTATCTATCTATCTATCTATCTATCATCTATGTATTAATCTCTATACATCCATCATTTATCAAAATCAACATCTATCTGTCTATTTATCATCTATCTATATCATCTATCAATCTGTTTATCCATCCATCCATCTATCTATATTTATCTATCTCTATCATATATTAATCCATCCATTCATCTATCCACCCATATCTACCTATTCATCTATTTATCTATCATCTATCTACCATCTATCTATCTATATCATCTATCTATTAATCTATCCGCCCATCCATGTAGCAATCAATATCTATCATCTATTTATCTATCTATATAATTGATTAATCTATTCATCCATCATCTATCAATCCATATCTATCTTCTATCTATTAATATATCTATCCATCATCTATTAATATCTGTCTATCTATCTATCTATCTATCCATCTAACCATCTATCATTTACTATGTTATCCAAATTGTTGTTTGTAGAGACTGACAATAAGGAGGTATTCTCTATATTCCTAGCTAACACCCAAGAAGATAGGCTCAAGATCCAGATGGATCTTGACAGACTAGAACACTGGGCCATATCTAACAAAATGAACTTCAATGTAGAGAAAAGTAAAGTCCTACACTTCGGCAAGAAAAACCAAAAGTACACATATAGACTGGGTGAAACCAGGCTCAATAGCAGTAACTGTGAGAGGGATCTTGGAGTCTTAGTGGACAACCAGCTAAATATGAGCCAGCAGTGTGCAGCAGCAGCCCAAAAAGCTAATGCAATCCTAAGTTGCATTAACAGAGGGATACAATCAAGATCAAGGGAAGTACTAATGCCACTCTATAAAGCCTTAGTAAGACCACACCTAGAGTACTTCATCAGGATTGATCACTACATTATAAAAAAGATGTTGAGACTCTAGAAAAAGTGCAGAGAAGAGCAACCAGGATCATTAGGGGACTGGAGGCTAAAAAATACAATGAACGGTTGCAGGAACTGGGCTTGGCTAGTCTAGTAAACAGAAGGACCAGGGGAGACATGATAGCGGTCTTCCAATATTTGAGGGGCTGCCATAGAGAGGAAGGGGTCATGCTATTTTCTAAAGTGCCTGTAGGCCAGACAAGGAACAACGGATGGAAACTGAAGAAGGAGAGATTTAACCTGGAAATAAGGAGAAACTTTCTGACAGTGAGAACAATCAACCAATGGAACAGCTTGCCCTCAGAAGTTGTGTAAGCGCCATCACTTGAAACTTTCAAGAAGAGATTGGACTGCCATTTGTCAGAAATGGTGTAGGGTCTCTCGCTTGGGTGGGGGGTTGGTCTAGATGACCTACAAGGTCCCTTCCAACTCTGATTATCTGTTATCTGTGAACACATGTAGCCATGCCAGAGCTGCAGTGGTAGGTGGCTCCCAACAGGTCATAGCCATGAATCTTGCCTCTTCTGAGTTGCTGTTCTTTATGTTCTATGTGCATTTCTTGGAGGATGGCCTTGTCTATGTTACTGTCCAATAAAAGTTTGAAAACATATTGGCTCTTGGATCTGCTGAGCCCCTCAACATTGATTTGGCAAATTTGAATAATATTCCTGGTGCCTCTTTTTATTTTGGCCTGAAAAGGTCTTTTCTTTTTTCTTTTCTCATTTTTGTAGCTGAGTAGTCTGGCTGCCAGCAGTTGCTACTTCATTTAGTTCATGCTCCAGGATACACCACGAGGAGGTGAACTAGCTTCACAGGCTGAGAACATATACCGGTTCATTTATATTTTTTTAATATAAATTAAACTTCATTCAATGGTTATATGGCCAAAACATGGATATTAGAATATAAATCTTTTTTTACATTTATATTTTATGGTGTTTACTAAACTAGGTGAAATGTTAATATATATTGTTAGCAGGAGTGGGATTCTACCAGTTTGCACCTATTCTCTAGAACCGGTTGTTAACATTCTAAGCAGTTCAGAGAACTGGTTGTTAGAAGAAATTACTGGCCTAATCCTGTAAGGAAGGCAGGAAGGAAACATTCTGGTGTTGCTTACAGAAACTGCCTCTCCGTTAACCCTTATTACATTCTTGGCAGGACTAGATTTCCTGTCTCAGGAACTTCTCTGGAGATTTTTTCCCCTCCTTTGCTGGCAGCATTCAAAGTTACAATGGCCCTGAAAAAAGTGACTTATGACCCTTTTTCACACTTACGACTGTTGCAGCATCCCCACAGTTATGAGAGGCCAGGCGAGGAGATGCGTGCCTCGATGTGAGTGATGTTGAGTTGCCCACACCCAGCCAATAACATGACCACCAAGTCATGTCCACTACCTAAGCCATGCCCACAGAACTGGTTGTTAAAAAATTTGAATCCCACCCCTGATTGTTAGTCCAGGATGATATTACATAAGCTAAATAATAAATAGCATTTAGACATATACGGCTTCATAGTGCTTTACAACACTCTCTAAGCAGTTTACAGAGTCAGCATACTGCCCGCAACAATCTGGGTCCTCATGTTAACAACCTTAGAAGGAATGGAAGGCTGAGTCAACCTTGAGCTGGTGAGACTTGAACTGCCAATGGCTGTTGTGGCTTGTTGGCCACCGGCATCTCCAGAAGCCAAATCAGAGGAAGAAGAGGAAGGCGTGGGAATCAGAGTCAGCATCAGGGCAACCTAGGAGCTCCGAAGGGGAAGAGGGAACGGAGCTGGCAGAGAAAGAGGCAGAGACAGAGACAGAGCCTGGGCCATTCATCAGTCCTCAAATGGACAGTCAACAGCCCCCAGGTCTGGTGGTAGCTGGTGTTGAAGAGGAGGAACAGCTGGGTCCAGTGCCTGATGTATGGCTGTGTAGAGTTGTTTTAACTAAGCATGTGCTTAATTACGGTCTTGGTGAGCCTTGGTCAGAACAGGCTGAATGGTCTTCATTCTTCTGTCTGCCTGTCAACACAGAGGGACCATCCAATCCTGTGTCTCATCTCTCATCCTAGTGGTCACCACTAAGATGTGGCCAAAGAGATTTGAGATGGACTATCTCAGTAAGTATTATCAGGGCAATGCCTAGAGGTGGAGCTCTCACCTCATAATCAGGAGGCTGTGAGTTTGATCCTAGAGAGCAGCAGATATTTCTCTCTCTGGGTGCAAAGACAAAATATCTGCTGTGAGCTCCACATAGGCATCAGGAAGGGCATCCGGACAGTAAACTCTCAGCTCCAATCAGTTGCCCTGACCCCATCCCGAAGCAAGGGATTTTGCAAGATCATTAACAGAAAACTCAGTAAGTATAATGAATGTACGCCCATCCCTTTCTATTCTGGTAATATAGGACAGGGGTCCCCAGTCCCCGGGCTGTGGCCCACAACCAGGCCGCGGCCTGTTCAAAACCAGGCCACATGAGAAGTGGGCCAGTGTGGGTGCAGGTGGCGCCCCAAAGGCTTCTCTTCTCTCTTGCATAAGTGGAGCTGCATATGCATACATGCACACCGGCCCACCGCTTGTGCAACCCAGTTTCCCTCTCCCCCCCGAACTAGGGCACCAATCCACCTACTCCTAATGCTCCAAAATCAGAATGGTGAGAGCAGAGGCTGAGTGGAATGAGTGTGCCCTTCTCAGCTTCGCAGACTCACTGAGGCTGCCTGCACAGGACACTCAATCCATTTTTGGAGCATCGGGCAGCCTTGGTGAGTCTGAAGGAGCATGAGACCACTCCCCCAAATGCTTTGGGAAAAGGGCGAAAGGCTTCAGGGGAGTGATTTTGTGCTGTTTCAGGGCTTCTGTCCCTTTGCAAAAGCCTTTGGCAT